GTCAGCCAGGCAATATTGAAATCATCTCACTATTGCAGAGGTTTGTTAATCTGTTCTCTGGCACTACAGGCTGCTGGATTAACAGTGGTACTCTCACCAGGACAGGAGGAAAAATTGCAGCCTTTTTGCCTCTGCTTTCTTTTCCTTGATTTTTGATTGAGTTGAAGTGAATAAATACCACTGAACAACATCCTTGATAAATGTTCTGATTTTGGCCAAGCAGACTAGGTAGGCTGTAAGCCATGGCTTCTTGTCCTCATGATCAGACAGGGCTAGATCCTGAGCTGGGCTGAAACCTACTTCCAGTAACAGTCAGCTGTGCAGATGCTGAGCTTTTCAGTGCTTGAGGAACCTTCCAGCAGTGCTGAGCACGAGTTTAAGTTCCCTGAGCTGTGAATGTGTAGCTGCACAAATTACTGTCTTTCTAAACATTTTTCAAGTATGTTCATGTTGTTTTAAAGTAGCGAGCTCACCCAGTCATCCACGCATTCTACCATGTCCCCTTCACAGCACTCCTTGTAGACATTCTTCACATCATGGACCATCTTAACAATTTCTAGAAATGGAGCCTTGGGGTATTTCTGGCTCATACGAGCAAGTTTGCTGGGTACAAAAGGAGAGAAACACACTTGTTTAGAAGCACTGTAGGGAACAGAAACCTTGCAAGTCACTAACACATGATAGGCTAGGTCATTGTTTCAAAAAATACTCATTCTTCTCATCTAATTTCTGGTGGCTGAAAAAAAAAATAGGGGTATCAACACCTGCACCAGTAAAGCCAGAAAGGGACAAGTCTGTGTTTTCTCTGTTCTGCCTGGACTGTGAGAATCACACCCTGGCATTCCCCATCACTCTTGGGCAACTGGGAAGTGCTCCAGATGACTTGGCACAGGTAGATATAGTCCAGATTACACCTTTAAATGGAAGCTGACTATGCCTATAGGATACTGTACTCCTGGTCAATGTTGGTGGGTCAGACTGGCCACAGAATGAAAGCACCTCTCTGTGCCCAGACAGGTGATCCACATATTAATGGTAAAAGCTTTTCTTTATCCTACAAACAAATGTTTTAACAGCTGGGACTCTGCCAAATTTGACTTTTTGGTTGACTTAAGGTTCAAACTAGTGCCTTTGCTGATTAGGTGTCCATCGCTGGAAGCTGTAGGCACTGGAACGGGGTGTAGCTTTGGCAAAAGTGTGGATTAACTGTCATCTCTGGTTCTGAGTGACACTCCAGCAGTTCTTGACTGGTTCCAGAGATGGTTTCATTGCTCTACAGCTCTCACAGCTGAGCTTTTCCTGGATCTCACTCACAGGTTGACAAGCCTACATTTTATTAAAAAAGTGTGTGGAACTTACCTTGCTTGGAAAGTCCTCTCGCCATACTTGTCCAGGATCCGACATCCGTGCTGCTGCTTCACGCCTATCAGCTTGGCTCTTTCCTTGATGACAGCTGCCTGTGGTAACAGGACACACATTGTCACATCCAACTGCTTACATCCAAGGGATATGATTAATCCTGGCCTGTCTCTCCAAGTTCTTCTTGCAAAGATTTGCATGAACGGGAGAATTCTGCCTGTTTCTCACTCAGTTGCTTAGTGTTTATCCACAGAGACGGATTTTGCCGTACCTTTGCATCCAAGCAAGCGCCAATATCGCTCTCTGGGCAGCAGCTTTTGAGTGCATTTTCATACTCAGCAGCCAGACCCAGGATCGCTGGGGCGTGCAGGAAGGGGTTTCTTCTTGCAACAGTGTAGACGAAACTAGAAAGGAAAGGAAGGTGTAAGTTCCATGTTCCAGTGACAACAGCAAATGGCCTTAAACCTCTTGGGGCTTCTCTGACTTTTTTCCTAGTTTAGAAATCTAGTTTAGTCATCTCCTTTGAGACATAATGCCTGCTGGTGGGAAGTGCTGTGCTACATCTCTCTTCCCAAGGCAGGACTCAGTAACTGTGAGTGAAGGGTGAATTTCTGATGTTGGCAGCTATCTAGTTTGATGTGTATCTGCTTTTCTAAAATGTGTTGTCAGATACTTGAAAATTCTGATTTCCAGTGTGAAAAATTCATCTATGGCCCTTTGACCAAGATTTTATTGCCAATTTTTATTCTTTTCACTGTTATCTTTCTTCATTCTTGCCAATTAGAGCAAGAGTAGTGGCAAGCTGGAGCAAGTAAGTTATTAAATCAATATTGGAAACATTGTGAGTTTTCAGCAGCTTTGGGGAGGAAAGGTCATCCAAGATTGATAAGATGTGACTCTTAATCCCCCTTTGGAATGTGAAAACCTGCTCTGGCATGAAATGAGAAAAGGCCATCAGGACAAGGAAGAAAGAGTGTCTGTTTTCCTTACTTGCCCAGGAGCTGCACGCGGTGGTCGCTGTACTCCTTGCATATGACATCGGCAGCTGGTCTCTGGTATGGCGCGATGAAGTCTGGCTGGTGAACTTTGAAGGACAGGAAGCACTGGTTCCTCTCGGGATCAGCTTTAGCACAGCAGTCAGCCATGGCACCGTACGAGTCGCGGAGACTGTCAACTTGGCAGATTTCATCCAGGAAAATGGTGGGCTGTAAGGGGAGATGCCGAGGGGCAGAGTTAGTGGAATGTATTGTCTATTGGTCTGCAAAAGAAAAGCCAGGCTGAATAGGAAACATGTTTTTACTGAATAAGATTTAGACCATAAATCAAAATATGGTTTTCACGTGATTTTATCGAGTTTGGTTTTATGTAGCCTGATATTAGCTGTTCCAATGCTTTACTGAAAAAAAGTTGATAATAATTTAAAATACTCTGTGCAAGACAGTGATCCCCTTTTACTTATAATCTGATTAAACTGAATTTTCAGATGAATTGAAGCAGGACTTGATGGGAGCCTTTCGGGAGAACTAATGTCTAGCTGAAACTGTCTTCCAGGGATCCTAAATAACTACGAACTTCTGTTAAGTGATGTTAGAAGAATTTTTTTAAACCCTCATAAACTAAGTGCCTTAAATTAGCACACACACCTTTTCAAGTCATCCAAGTGTGAAAATCCACACGCTTGGGTCACTTGAATACCTAGAATTAGGCCTGTACTTCACAGCTGGGGTTTTGGACGAAATGCTGACATTTATTTTCAGGCAATGCTAAGCTGAATGTGCTCAAGTCTGGCATTTGATCTCTGACTTATGGCTCCATGGATCATTTAGGCACTTCTTAAAGGCAGAGTTCCAGAACTTGACAAAACCAAGTTCTTTGTTTAAGCACTAAAATCTGAGCATTGGCCCATGACAACAGGCACACCTGCAAGGTTCAGGTGTGAGTCCTGGAGGAGGGTGATCCTGGCAGCTGCACAGAGCGAGGAGAAATAGAATATTGAGGGGAAGGAACGCTGCCTACCAGTGGTTTTGCGCAGTTGGGAGCATCCTCGTTGGCCACACAGGTGTGTGCCAAATCAACAACGTCCTTCACCAGCTTGGACAGTCCATCGTAGGAACATTTCTGGAGGTACTGGGCAAATGTGATCATGGCACTGAAACACAAAGTGCAGTTTGGAGTGTGAAAATGACAAACATCGGTCAGTATCTGCAAAGGTGCTTCTGAGTTAAACTTGTCTGTTCAAATGATGTACACAAAGGTTAACCAGGATACCATGCAGAGGATAGTGCCAGATCCCACATCTGTCTTGTTCTCACCTCCTTGGGAAGGTTTTTAACCTTCCCAGTAACCTTTTTACCTTCCCAAAAAGAGAAGTCTTGAATAATAAATTAGAAGCAAACCAGAAAAGACTGTGGTTGGAGTTTTCTGTCACTCTTAGCAGCAAACTCATAAATGCTCTGAGCTAAGCTGGATTTGGCCACTGTTACGAATTAGGATCTTCAGGCTGCCTTCTCTCAGTACTTAGGTGTCTGTCAGGGCCCTCTGTCTTTGCCAGAACCAGGTTCAAATGAAAATCACTGAATTGTCTCAGAAAACCTGTCACAGGTTGGTTTTTTCAGGTTGGTGGTTTGGTTTTGTTTTTTTTCTGGCAATGTCTCAATGCAGCATAATTTCCCTTCATTCTAAGCATATCAAACCTGTATTTCTCATGCCTATTTTATTTTCAGAGAAGGAACAGAGGCTTTTTCACAAGGTCTGCGAGGAGCTCTTTTCCCAGAGAGCAAGTAAGTCATGGTGACATTTAGAGGTCTTAAAACATTTCTAGGTTTTGCAGTAACAGTAAGGGGCTGACTCGGTGTTTCAGTGAGACATAACACGCTCCTTGTGAGCTCATACAGCGTGTCTTCCTTTCCCTTTTTGGCACAATATCAAGAGAGACAAAAAAAACCCAATCAGAAGATGGAAGCTGAACGTTCACTTACACTGCCTTAAAGTTCTCTTCCTTCAAGTCCTGGAAGCGATGGGCAATCGGGCTCTTGTGGTCTAGGAAGAAAGCATATGGTTTTCATGATCCCCATAGAATATCTGTCTCTGTAAGCAGCTACTTAATTCGGATTATTCAAAATGGCTGTTGGGAGTTAGAATTTAGGGTTAGCAAATGTGTCCTTTGTGTAAGCACCACCACCAAACAGCACAAAGAAAGGGGTGCAGCTGCAGTTTGATTAGAGTTACTTGTCCCGAGTGTCCTACCCATCTTCCCCTGGTCTCTTAATTCAGGTTTCTTTTCAAGTCAATCATATTTTTCTGTTCAGTATGGATCAGGCTCCCAGAAATTGTTTGTGAAACTGTATTAAAGACATTAAATTGATATAACAAAGACTTCCAAGAGAAGTAGTTAGTCGTTTCTTACCTGCATCTCGTGCAGTTCTTAGCAGGTTCCTGGATCTGACAGAACTCAGGAGAAAAATAAATGAAATTAATGTTAACCACTTCATGGTTTCAGATTATGATGTGAGCAAAATTGCTCAAAAATGCTAGGAAGATTGAAGGAAGAGCATTTGCTTATATACCCTGCAGTACCCGTGCTTGTAAAATATTAACCCTCGAGCTGGCATTTGTAGATGTCCACTTAGCCTGAAGGAGATTACAAAACTTCAGCTGCCCTTGCCAAAAATTAATTTGATATTAGTTATTTATTCTGTCTTGTTACTCTACAGGGCCTTTTCGCCCTGAAGAGGTCGAACCTCCCAGCACCCAAAAAAGATAAAGTTTTGCGCAAATTTCCTTATCAAATGACAAACACGGAGTTCAAGGCATCACACAAAAAAGTCATCAGGGCTAATCCTATAGCCTGGGGTTTTTTTTCTAGTATTTGTTCAAAAGCAAAGCATGTTGGTATTGTATAGCAGCAACTCACCCAGAGAGGACTCAGTCCATCTGAAAATAGAGAATTTTAATTTTAAATCACTTTTTTAGGATGAGATGGCTAATCTAGACATCTATGGCTGATTTGAGCACCTGAAATTGTTGGGTCCTGCTCTGGTTTTCTGTGGGTACTGCTGTTCACCAGTATCCAGAAAACAGCCAAACACCTGGGTAAACATGTGCAAGAGCTGTCATTTCAGAATTTTTGCAATTTCTCATTTGTACTGACATCCCCTCAAGAGCAATCTCTTAATGAAACATTGCTCCTCTCCCTGCAAAATTTCCCATTGATTAGTCAGTAATTTAGGAGATCAGACATGGGAAGGGATGTGCTGTTTGCACAGAGCCCCAGGACATGGAATAAAATCAAAATTACTTTTCTAGGACACCCAGTGAGATGCTTCAAGAAATCCCAAACCAGTACAAGGTTGGATGCTTGCTGAGTGCAAAGTGATGTAGTTTCCCAGGGGGAGATGCTATGATTTATTTTAATGAACTTATGTCCCCAGTGTGTGGATACCAACCAACAGAACTGGAGGTTGTGTGCTGCCTTGTGACTCTGCTTTGTGGGCACCCACGTGGTAGAGCTGAGCATGTTGTCTCCAAACGCTTCCTTAGCCCTTAGGGTTCCCTTTTGTGCTCTGTTCTTCTTCCTCAGGTGGGAAGTTTTGCCATAACTCTATATTGTTCCTAATGGGAATAGTAAGAGCAATTCAATGATCAGTTTTCTGGAAGTTTGACTAAGTAAGTACAGGCATTGTTCTTCCTTTTGTTTCTGAGCGTGAGCTTTCAAAGACATTTGAAATAAAGCATGTCTGAGCTGAAAATATTTGCAGGCAGTTTTCATTCAGGAAAATGCCAGTGCAGTGCATCTTGCTTTCCAGAAAGGCCATTCTAATGGCCACATAAAACTGAGATGAGCTCACAGCATAGTTGGATACAATGAAATTTCTACAGGCTGCTGCTGTTGCAAGGATTTTTTGCGATTTCTCGAGTCTGCTCCTTAGGTATTATATTTTTGTAAGTAAAAGACAGCAGTCTGTTAGTGATTTAAATGAACAAGGCTCTATTTTGGGAATTAAAAGGTTATTTGGATAACTCTTACATGAAGGATGGTGCAGAAAAGCAATGTTAGAAATGTCATAATGTTAGACATGGGGATTGTTTTCAGGTGGTTGTAGCAAAATCCCACATTTCTGGAGAATGATGGGAATTGATGATTAATCTGGACCTTTCACACCTGTGCTGCTTTAGCCTAATAAAATCTGAGGCAAGAGCTTATTAATTCAGTCCGTAGTTATTTTCCTGACCATATCCCTCTGTCAGAGAAGACCCATCTCCTTTCACATCTTAAGAGAGCATTGAGTGGGACAGGAACACACGTTGAGGTATTTTGTGGTTAAGTGTAAGGTGGTAAAAAACTGCAGTATTGGTGAATGATGTTTTACAACAACTCTTGAGATGCTCTCAGGCTGTACTGAAGAATTCTCCAGAAAACTACAGTAAGGGGGGCTGGGAGGACAAAGCTGAAATTCAGCACAACAAGTGCAGCATTGCATCTTGAAAGCTCTCTGGAATTTTCCCTTGCAGCATTGTGCAGTGTTAGCAAGAACACTCCTGGTCCCCTGGAATACAGGGTCCATGTTTATTTCTAGATATCTTCTGTTGTCTGTCCTGCACTTCATGCCAATGGCTCATATAACAGCTGAGAGCTGAACTCCAATGCTCGTGTTTGCATAACAATATTAAATATTATACTGAGCTTCCTGTTACTCAATGCCTTCATACTGCGTTGAGTTCACTCCAGCAAAGTTATCCTCATATTACAAAAAGGAATTTATCAATGACATTTTAGGATGATCCATTTTCACACTCATTTATGTCTAAAGTTACAGGTGATAACTAGTTTTATTCCAGGTGTGGGGAACCAAAGGACAATAATTCCAAGAGTAATTGACCTGGAAGTAAAAAGGATGGATAATTTTTAAATATTTGATTGTACCAGGCTGTGCAAAGTGGAAGAGCAGAAACAAAGTGGACCGAGATGTACTGATATGGCATGAGGCTCTTGAGAAACAAATGGGATGTATCATGAGAAGAACTGTCAGAGCCCTTTGGGGAAGTAAGTGCTTCTCAAAGTAATCTCTCAAAACCCAAAGGACATGGAGAAGCCCTTAGCTTTTGTGGCCCTCCATTTTATTTACTGCTGTTCCTTCCTTTTTTCAAGCCCTATAGTTGTGTTTGTGGGACTGGACCGTGAGACACGCACCAAACCTAGAGACAGACATTCCTGTGCCGGTAGCGGCAGTGAGTAGCTATTTTTAAATAACTGTAATGATCAGAATATTTCCTAATAAATGTCTGTAGCTCTGGACACACGGACAGGTATCAGGTATTACTTTTTTTCCCCTGCTGTGGTGCATGGTGTTTGCCATTCTTATCGGTGATGTTTGTCTCCTGTGCAGAACGAGTCAGACATCTCGGATATATGGCTTTTGTTTGAACAGAGATGGAGTCATAGATACAAAAGAAACAAATGTAAAGAGAGGGGGTTTGATCACTGCAGCAGAACAGGCAGAGACCTGCTCAGGTGTAGCTAATGGCATTCCATGTCATTCCAGGCACTCCTGGGCATCTCACCAGTGAGTTCTGATACTGGGCTGTTCCTCTTTGGGCATCAGCCCCTCCCCCTGCAGTGTTAGTGGGTTCTTGATCATCCAAATAGGGGTTTTTGAATTGACAGGAATGACTGTTCTTGTTGATCTGAGGGCATTCTACCATCCCTACTCCCTTGTCTCCCAAGTCCACAATGCAGTGAGGTAGCTGTTTTCCTTATTAATTACCATTTACCAACACCATTCTTTGGCAGCAGGTATGAGAACAGCTTTGCTTTGCCTGTTAAGCATTCAGTTGCTTGAATTTATCCAAATATACAGCCTTCAGTGCTTTTTGAGGGTATCGGTTCTGAGATTTCTCTGAACTCGTCTCTGTTTTCCATGTCCCTATGACTTTTTTCTCTGCCAGTTCAAGTAGGTAATACACAAAATAGCTAACTATTGGCTTAATCCATTATCCATTTTTAAGGTCCCTCAAAAAAAAAAATCACTGTAATGTATTGATATGGGTGTAAATAAATTTTGTATCTAAATACAGAATAGGAAGGTTTTTTTTCATCAGTGTTTCTTACAGTGCCTTTGATAATTGTCTCTGGAACTGAAATCGTTGTGGTGGTGTGATTGATGTTTGGCTCATGATGGGACTGTCAGTGGAGATCTTTCTTCTTCCTCTTACATAAGTCCTGGAGGCCTTTGGAATCCAGTGCGTTCACTTGTGCCCTAGAAACTTCCTGGCCTTCAGTTTCCAATTTCTGTGCCGCTCTGATACGTTACCTGATGGCCTTTGGCAGGAGAGGAGAGCCATTTAATGTGGTACAGTCAAGAGCCAAAGCTGAAAGCTTTTGTTTGGCAAGAGTTTGTTAATATTTCTTCCCTAAGTTTGATGTACTTCAGCTTTAGCAATCAAAGAAATATTGAAAACTTTTGAGGAACAGCAGGAAGTGTTTGGATCGTCTTTTTGTTTTGAATTTCTTCAGGCCATTGATCCGTAACCTCCAATTTTTGTAAAAAAACATGGCTACAAACACTTTTTTGTACGTGTAAGCAGGTGTATTTGCTAAACTCAGAAACAAAGAATGTGTAAAATGAACTGATTATTCTGAGAGCCACTGGGTTTGCTCTCAACTTGAAGCACTTGAAGAGCTTGAAAACATCCTCTATGTCTAGAGGGGCTGTAGGACTTGTGGAAAATTTCTGCCATTCTGCAGCTGCCCCCCACAGTGTTGCTGCATCACCTGGCAGTGCTGACGCTCTTACTTGCCTTATTTTTCATCTAGTTTGATTGTAAACTTAGGGTTTTCCCATTCTGGCCTAAAAACTGCCAAGCTGATAAATATTTTCTCTTTCATGTCCATCTCCATAGAAACAGAATCTGTGTTACTGCTGTAATTGTTCTCCTGTGCTGTTTTTTTCTGTTAGGGCCTTGGGGTTTTTTTTGTTGGTTTCTTCATGGGAAGATCCAAGTCCATTGATTTAAGACAACTTGTAAATGTTCAAGTGTTAAGGGAATAAAGGGAGTGATTATTTTCTCAGCCTTTCCTCTACTCCTGAGCAAACAGTTTCTTAAGATAAAGCCCTCACAACTTTGGAAAAATGAAATATAGTCATTTTAAATGAAGTTCTGGAGCAAGAATAGCATTTTCCACCTCAAAAATCCCCGGTTGCCTTTGCAATTTCTTCAGCTGAAAGTCAGGGCTTCAGGTGGCACCTCAGCAGGAGAAAAGTTTGCAGAACCATTTTTAGGTCCTTGTTACTGGAGCAGGCAGGACAAGACATTTTAAAATTTGGCACTGATGTTTACTTGCTGACATTAAAAGATAACCCACTTCTGCATATTATGCTGCCATTATGAATTCTGAGGCTTCACAAAGGAAATGTGAAGTGTCCTGTCCCCACAACTGAAATCCAAAGGCAAGGTGAACTATTTCCACATTTCTGCCTTATCCTGTGAAACAAAGTTCACTTAGTCAAATCCAAGTACCTGCACTTCTCTGTTGCACCAATCAATTGTTTCGCAAGCACCATTCAATCAGACCGCATTTATTAGGTCAGCTCTGGCTTGAAGTTCCAGGTTCAATGGGAAACACATTCCCAATGATATTACCAGGATGTAATGATCCCTTAGAGGAGAACTGGATTTGCAGCAGCAACAAAACATTATCTTTATTCAGGTTGCTGTTTTCCTTCCCATGTTCTCCTTTACCTGGATTTGTTACACTATGACATGTACTACTGGAAACCTGGGATTCCCAGAGTTAAGGAAGTGATTAAAACGAAGAGAAAATTGAGGAAATGTTGGTTGGTTCATTTGCTGGTTTTTCTTTAGAGTAGTACTTATCAACTCTGATTTTTGAAGGAGGGAATAATTGGGGTTTGAAATTCAGTCTCTCTGAATTTGAGTGCCTTCAGGAAGACCTGATTTTAGAAGAAAGGTTCCTCAGTACATTCCCAGAATCAGAAAAATTTCTTCAGAGACCAAAAAGTGCATCTGAGCTTAGCAAAGATCTGTGTGGTTCTTGTGGTTCTCTTAAATAAGTTATCAAAAGATTGGTCCATACATCAGAGGAGCTAAAGAGATTTATCATGTGATCTGTGGCTGTGCAAAGCCTAGTTGTGATGATTGTTTTTAAAATTTGAACACTAATCTGAGAATCCTTCTTAAGTCATGCAAAGAAATATTAACGATCTCTTTGCTCACAAAGCTTTTGGTGTTGTCTTTTGGATCAATTAGGCAGAGGCTACACTCGCAAGGCCATTCCTCTGTGGTGCCCTCCAACCCTGTGCTGACAGTCCTTGACATTTGCTTTCTGCCCAAAGGCCTTTTCCAACAGTGCTTCAATGCTGCCAGTCAGGCATATCCACAGCCTGCCCACAGGTCCCAGAATTAACTCGGGAAATCCAATTATAACAATTAATGTAGTAGTGCTCTTATCTGGCACCTTCAGCTTAGTGTGAACTTGGGTTTCTGACTTTCCTCCTTCACTCTGAGTGCTGGAAACACAGAGTGGGTGTCTAGGCACTGGAGCTATTCCCAGCACAAAGAGGCTTAAGGCTTCCCTTAAAGTCAGTGCAGATCCAGATCTAGGCAGATTCCTGGCTCCCTGGGCTGGGAAATTGGAAGCTGGGAAAATGAGGTGTGGAACCCAATTTCTCCCAGTTCCTGCTGGCAGAGAGGACAGCCTCGTGCTAAGCCAAGACTGAGGGCACTGTTGGTGGTGAGCCCAGCAAGCCTGAAAATGCTGAGAGTCTGATTTGAACTCATGGTTTCTGTGGTGCTGCTGCACTGTTGGGCACTGCAGCCTCTTTGCTGTCAGCAAGTAGGAGTTTTGGATGGATCCTCTTGACATCCCAGAACACAAATGTTCTTGCATCACTTGACAGAAGTCTCTCAAGTACAGAGCCCACCCTCCCTGCAGGTTTGTCAGAGCCAATATGGAAATACAACTGTGGATTTTATGGAAGTTGATCAGTCCTCTGATGTTTCCAGTGAAACATTTTGGATTCAGTTCATGCGGATGCTTGATTGGTGCACTTGCCAGTGCTGGGTTATTGTTTGGATTTCATGATCATAAAGGGATTTGGTCAGGGTCAATTTGCCCTTCGTGAAGCTGTGATGGCTGTCCTGGGTCACTTCCCTGTCTTGTGTGTGCCTCAACATTGCTTCCATTAAGGTCTGCTCCAAGGTCTTCCCTGGCACAGAGGTAAGGCTCACCGGTCTGTAGTTCCATGGGTCTTCTTTCCTACCCCTCCTACAAAAAGTTTCCCTTTCCCCAGTCACCGGGGACTTCACCTGATGGCTGTGACTGTTCCAAGATGATGGAGAGTGGCTTGGAGACCACATCAGCCGGTTTTCCCTGGACCTTGGCATGTGTGCCATCAGGGACTGTGGCTATAGAGTTCCATGCCATTCCCACCATCCCAAAACACAAACTCCACTGACATGGGCTTAGGTTATTTTACCCATCCAGCCACAAGAAGAAATCTTCACACTCAAGCTAGTCATAAAATTCAGTCCAGAACGACATAACATCAGAATTAAAAATTGTGTGGAGAAGTTGAAATTGAGACTAGGCTTGCTAAGGAACTTACGTGCATTGGTTTGTTAGTTTTCAAAGAAAAGCAAAATTATTTTATTTGATTCTATCAGCTAGGCAATCTATCTGCTTCCGCTTCTGAAAGGAAAATGAAGTTTTCCTTTCCTGCTTTTCGTAGATAACTGGACTTCAGGCTGAGAAAGGACCAGTTTAAAGTAAGACAAAGCAGAGACTCCTGTCTCTTGGGCACTGATATTGCTTAAGAAGCTTTTTGGCAACTCGCTAAGGTTACCGGGTCCTCTATGCAGGATTTTGAAATATATTCAGCATTGACCTAAATTTGGTCACATCAAAGACAGTGCCAAAACTTGCCTGACTTCACTGGAAAGCGAACTCAGTAAAAGGGAGATGGTATCTTGGATCTTTCCACGCAGATTTTTAACCCTCCCTACAGTATTTTAGGTAAGTTATTTCACACCAAACCACATAAATGTTTTTAGATTGGTTAGTGGAAGAATAGGAAATATATCTGCAAAAAGCAGGTTTAGCTCAGGTAATGCTGAGATGACTCTAAGGCTGATGTTCAAGCCTAATCTTTGCCTAAAAGAGAGTTCCAGTGTGTTCTGAATAAAACAGTTGTCAGCATTCCGTAAGAACTGGCCCGATGAGGCATTTTCCAAGTGCTCAGGTAGGAGAAATCTGCCACCTACTGTTGACAAAACTATTTGCACAAGGAGGCCGCGGACCTCAAAAGAGAAAAAAATGATGTTCCTATGGGCAAAGAAATTGACAATTGTTTGGAATTGCCACAATGATGTGTCTGAAACAGACATCAGCCCTCACTGGGGCTGGATTAATAATGGAGAGAAAACTAGGCTTGTTGATTAGTGACAATGCGTGATTTATTTGGTGCTCCTATTGGAAATTATCTGTGTAATGCTTATGGAGGCACTTGTCTTGAAGAATGTTTGCATTGTCCTTACCTGAGCCTTTTAAATGAAAGAAACACATCAGAAATATAGAATGTGAGAAGTTGCTTAAGATAAAGCACTCCAAAAAGTCTGGACAGCTTTTCTGGCTTGGGACAGTCTAACAACGAGATGTGCAGGATTTGGAATTAGGGTACATAAATGTTACAGGTAAAGTGCTTTGCTGAATCCAAATCTAAAACTCAGTTCAGTGGCATTTAAGAGCTTTGGTGAACATGGAGAGATCGTAGTGATGTCTGAAGGTGAGCTTGGGAATTTGTACTCAAACTCAGTTCTGGATTACAATGTTAAGTATTACAATTGGTAATTAATATATTGTCTGTAATTGAAAATTACACACTTGACAAAACTGAGCTGAGGCTGTGCGTTGAAATTCATGAATGAGAATAAAAGGTCCAGATTGACCTTTCAAGACACTCATAGGCTCACTCACCAGATGGTTTTAAGTTTGACATTTGAGATATTTTCTCATTTAAACAATACCAATGAGCTCAGTCATAACGAAGGAAATAAGAGAATGACAAGTGACAATAAGAAAATTCACCCCACCAGCACTTTTTCTCCTTATTGAAAAGGTCACTAATTCAGGAACACCAAGATAGTCAAGGCAGTTCCTAACTTTGTAATTAGCTAGAAATAAAGTCAATGGCATTGTAAATGCCACACACGGACAAAAATGCTTGAATTTATTTCCTGCTGATCATTAATCAATGATCAAATTTCAATGATCAAATGCTGGAAATAATTTACACACAAAAAAATTACACAAAAAAAAATCTCTTCAAAAATCTCATCATTTTACTGTCGAATAAAAAAATAATTCAGGATATCCATATTGGAGAATCAAAAGCTTTATTGAAAAAATTAACTTCCAAAGCATTGGGAAGGATTAAAATCAGACTAGTTCTAGCTGCAGAGGTGTGTTGCCGGCTTTTAGCTCCACCTACCGAGTCCAACGGAAATAACAGGAACATTGAGTTTCTCTTTTTAAAAACTCTGTCTCTAAAACACAGCAGGAACCCACAATATGTAGCCAGTAAGTGAAATAGCACACAGTGAACGAGTGAGGAGGGCAAGTCCTGTTTGAAAACAGAAGCTCCACAGGACCCTGGAGGTTAGGGGATTTTAGACCATCAAAAACTAGTAGACGATTTTCTAGTTCTAACTTGAACTCTGTAAAAATATTCTGCTTCCACTTTAAGTGCCTTTCTGAGATATCAAAGGCATTACTTACACTGCCTTCCCTGAATTCAAGGTCTTACCAAGTTTTACATGGAGATTCCCACTCCCTTCCTTATCCAGAGATAAAACTACCCTGGGAGGACAAATAGTTTCAAGGCACACTCTATATGAGAATAGAAAAGCCAGCCTGAGCCTTGTTGTTCTGCATGCCAGCAGAAGGCTGCTTGCATTGAGCTCTTCCAAGCTGCTCCAGGAGACGCTGTGTGAAGGACTAATTTCAGAACTAATCAATTGTTTACTTAAAAAGTGGTTACTATAGAAATTATCATTATGGATTGGCTGAACCCAGGCATAACACGAGGTGTAAGAAATGTTTAACCTTCTAGCTGACTCCTGTGCAGCCCATAGCTGATGCTGCCTTAAATGTCATCACTTAAAAAACAAAACAAAAACCCACAAAAAACCAAAAGAACAAAAAAATATCCACCAGCAAAATATTAATTTGAGATGTAAACTTTAATATTCAAGTATAATAATCAATTATTATAATATATTATAAATATAATAATATATCAAGCTTTGGCTTGAGAGATTTCATTCACAGTTTTGGATTATAGATCAGTTATACATGAAATACACAAAAAGAATTCACTTCATCTTATTATTTGTCCTGTCTTAATTTTATTTTGTTCTATTTGTTTTATTTTATTTTTATTTATTTATATTTATTTTATTTATGTTCTTTGTTTTATTTTGCCTTTGACCACACTTGAAGAGAATGAGAAGTAATCCAGAATATGCTGCCCTTTGCCCTCTGTTTGCCATGGTGTTTTTCAGTTTTATACACACAAAGGATAATAATTTTGAAAGCTTACCAAGCAAATGAGGAGCCTGCAACACACCTTGGGAATCATTTATGCATGTTAAAATGTAAGGCTCAGAGAGCACTAATGCATTTTAGGATTTCATGTGCCTAAGCCATTTCTTAGTGAAGACTCCCAAAGTACTCAATATATTTACAGAACAAGTTTTATTATTTTAACAGAGCACTTGAAGATTTCTTCACTGAATCAACTGTTAAAAGGTTTTGCTTTCTGGACTTCTTTTTCCTTTGATAGTTCTCTCTGTGAGGAAGTGGTCAGAGCTGGCATGATGTTTTAAGAGCAACTAATAGAACATGCAACATCAGTCTCTGAGATGGAACATAAATGATTTGCAAGACACTTGAGTGGGATATAGATATATATTTCCAACGACACTGATCACAGATAAGGACAGCCAAGGGCAAAATCACTTGACTTAGTGCACCAAACAGGCGGAGGTTGATCCCAAAGGGACTTTGAGACTGGAAGAGTTTGAGTGTTAACAGTAATGCAAGTGAGTTTTACAGTGTTTGAACTTACCTTATTCTGTAAATCTATGCACTTCTCTGGGGCTACCACTGCTCCTCTGAAATTCTCCATCTCTCCAGATTGTCTTTCTTTACTCACAATGCTCACAGGAAACTTGCTGTTATGAAGAAATAGAGATAATTAAAAAATGTAATTTGAAGCAAATGCTATGGCTACATAAAATAATTTTTCCTTTCCACGTGCAGTTTACTGGGATTGAAACTGAGTGGTTTAGATGAGGCTAAAAATGTGTATCACGGAAAACTGCTTTTCTCTGAATGTACAAACATTTGTGGTTTTTACCTTCTTTCTCCCTCTGCCTTGGACAGCAGCCATTGTATCTTGCTGAACAACTTAAATTCTATTACTTCTGTTTGATATAAGTCATGGTGCTCTAATTTAAGTTTCTCTTGCCTCCCATTTCAGATGGATCTTCCACGCTATGCACCAAGGAGGCCCAGTGAGCCAGTCCCTGTGGTATGTGTGTTGGAACAATACAGCCTGGGGTTCTCAGTTCCCTAAATGATACGAATTAAAATATTCCAGCACATACAAGAAGCTGCAACAATGGCCAAACCGTGCATATCCAAGACAAATAAGGCATTCACCAGTGACAATGGCAGGATTTGAGCTTTGGTTTAATTTTAAAGTTTATTTGGATGATCAGCTTGGGAGCCTTGTGGAAGCTGCAGCAGTCCTGAGTTTGGGTTTAAAATTCACTCAGTTATCAACTTTTTCCAGTCCCTGTATTAATTGCAAATGAAACTCATGCTCCCTGCTTCCTGACCTTGACAAGACACCGCTTCCAGCAGCTGTAAATGAAACTGAAAGCAGATTCATGAGGATAATTATACCACAGCAGAGGTTTCAACACATTGTTTGTCCTGTGGAACTTTTTAAGGAATCTGGCACACAGGAGACAGTTCCTGAAAGTATTCCCTGAAACCTCAAGCTTTCCCACTACTCCTGTGGAGTGCTCAGTGGGATGATCACTTACATGGAGGAAATTGAATAAATATAGAAGCAGAAGTCACAGAGGAAAGAGATAACAAAGGATTATAATTTTTCTCAAGATTTAGGAGGTTGATGAGGTCCTGCCACAGGTTGTCTGGAGAAGCTGTGGCTGCCCCATGCCTGGAAGTGTCCAAGGCCAGGTTGGAGAGGAGCTTGGAGCAACCTGGGCTAGTGACAAGTGTCCTTGCCCATGGCAGGGGGCTGGAACTGGGTCATCTTTAACATCCCTTCCAACCCAAACCATTCTGTGATTCTATGATTCCACAATTTCCTGCAGCTTTTTGCTACCACTAAACCCAAGTATCCAAAGTTAACCAACTTCCTAGACTCACCAAAGGAAGGAAATGTGTTTTTTTAGGAATTACTTCCCTAATTAGAGCCTACACTGACTTTTCAGTGATATGCAATCCATTCCCTATGAGCCCTTTCAACAGGAAACACAGCTGTGGGTCATACACCCTTGTGGAAACTGGGACACAAACACAAAAAAATAAAACCTAATTAAAAATAAAATCTTGATTATTGCCTCCTTCATTATGTGCTGATGATGATCAGAGTATTTACAAGAATACTTTAGTTTGTGTTTTTAAAATATCAAGTGCAGGAGAAATGTCACACCTTCGCAAGGCGTTCAAACCATGCCAAGATTAGGAGCAGACTTGTGTTAGCAGCTTTTGCCCATGACAGAATCAAATCTTATAAGCCCCATGGAGTAAAACCGAGTTTCTCTGAAAGAACTCACGTGTTTTGATTGCTGTTGCAGTCACAGAATCTCAGAGTCATTTAAGCTGGAAAAGATCTCCAAGACTATCGAGTCCAGCCTGTGGCCAATCTTCAGCTTGTCAAACAGAGCAGAGCACTGAGAACCCAGCTCTCTCCTGAACACCTCCAGGGATGGCAACTCCACCCCTTCCCTGAGCAGTTCCTATGCTTGACAGCCCTTTCTAAGAAAGTCTTTCTCATTTCCAACGTGAACCTCCCCTGGCACAACTTGAGGCTTGTTTTTTGTTGTTCTAATGCTTGTTAGCTGGGAGCAAAGCCCGACCTCTACCTGGCTGCACCCTCCTGTTTAGAGGGAGTTCTAGGGAGAGAGAACGTTCCCTGAGCCTCTTTTTCTCCAGGCTGACCCCCCCAGCTCCCTCAGCTGCTCCTCATGATTTACTCTCTAGACCCTTCCCCAGCTCCACTGCCCATCTTTGGAAGGGCTCCCGCACAAAAGGCTCGAGCTAGGGTGGCAGGGATAAACTGGGTTCTAGGAAATGGAGGAAAAGGACTTGCTCTGCCGTGCAAAAGGAGGAGGCGCCACTCTTTGATCAGATCAGAGGTCGCCGCCATAAAAGGAACGGAACAAACAGTCTCCGACAGGCAGCTCTGCCTGTGCCGGGCGCTGCTGGTAACTCCTCCATCTGATCCTGGGCTTGGGAGTGCGACGCGCTGAGATAAAATGCTAAGGCTGCTTTCATTGGCAAGGAACGGGACCCGTTCCAAGTCTAACAACCCGGCGGATACTCGGAATAAGGTGCGAAAGCAGCCGGTATCAAAGGCAGCTTTGTGATACGATGTAGCTGAGAGTAACCGCAGCCCAAGCCCTGCCGCAGAACTTTTGGAGGCCATTCCCCACCTCACACCGTCCCGGGAAGGGACGGAGAGAGCACCTCAAAGGGTGAAATCCAGCTCTGCACCCACCCTTCCCAGAGCCAGCGGGGTGAATGTGGTGCATTTGGATCACCTGTCTGGCTGCTAGTACAGCCACAGCAACCTCAGAGGTATTTTGTTTAAAGACAGTCACGGATCAAATGATGAAAACAGGTGACTTTTCCAGGCTTATCCATTGGAAAAGTGACGTCCTTGTCACACCACATCACAAATCTCAGGCTGTAGGGCTGAGGGGACCCGATCTACCTCTTGCGATGACAACACATAACACATAACGTAAATGCTAAGTAACAGATATGTTATATATAATTGTAACAAATAACAAATGTCTAATCTGTGCCTGCACCCCGATGGAAACCAGTAAAACCTAACAAATAACAAATGTCTAATCTGTGCCTGCACCCCGATGGAAACCAGTAAAACCCAATGCATTTGCATTAATTATAATGCAAAACAAAAAATTAAAAGAGGACAAAAGTATTATCAGCACTGTTCTGCCATCACACATCTGGTGCTGGTTTGAGATTTCTGTGCAGTCCCAGCAGGAAGTAGGAGGTAGGTGGCTAGAGTATTCAGTTTATTCCTCCTGGATCGCATCAAACTATCATCTGCAGAGACATTTATAAAGGTGTTGTTCACTTTAGACCTTGTACCTGAAGATGAGAGGTTAATCTCCTGAATTAGCAGGTTAAGAGTCTGTGTCAGTTATTTCCAGGTGACTTGGAAATAATGTAATTTAACAGTGGGCCTCTTAGGCCCACCAAGGCAGTCCTTTAATTAGGAACATACACAGGCACGTATCAGGACGTTTTGGGGGGATTTCAGCAACACAAAGATTTGGGGGGGAACCGTGCAGATTCCAGGATGAGCACCAGTTGGGGATTTATTTAAAAATTAAATGCTTGATTTCAGAGGACCTGCAGACCTGACCGGTGCTTTCCCATCAGCCAAATAAGGGAAACAACACCTAAGTCGTGAAACAGCAGCAATCTCTTTTCATTTCTGTAAAATTTAACCAGAACAGGCAGTGCTGGTTTCAAATACCAATTCTAAAACATCCATAGTGTACCACTGCATAGAGCCATTGCTGATCTTTACAGTCACGTGTTTCTGTGGTCAAAATAATTTTTACTTCCAACAGGACCAAAAAGTAAAATGGAAAAAAGCCCATTTATCCATTGAGGAAGCCACAATTTAAATATTTAACATATTTATACTTATATTTGTATTTAACTTAGATTTAAGATGTAACTTTGGTTACTGCAGGACTCGGTTTGCCCTAATGGAGGCAGCAGTATTAATATCCCAAATACATTTTGGGGATGAAAATCTGGGGTAGGGGGCCTGAGGGCTGAATCGGCATGATGACATAGTCGAAGGGTTTCATTAAAGAAATATGGTCAAATTGATGTGGGCATCTTAATGTTTGTCATTTTGAGTGGAATGGAAAGAAAATGGTTGTAGAACAGGGATTTGGAGGTTACTCTTGAATGCAGAGCACCTGGTGGGAACGAACTGTGTGAAAGAACACAATTCCAGAAACACTTAGGTTGGAAAAGACCTCCAGGACCACCGACTTCAACCTTTGACGGATCACCACCTTGTCAGCTTGACCAGAGCACTGACTGCCATGTCCAGTCGTTCCTGGGACATCACTTTTAGCTGCAATTCTGTGCTGTGCGGTTTCACTGACCACCACTTTTACTGAAACTCTACCAGTTTATTTTCTGACCCTTTCGGCAACGCCCCACAAATTTCTGTTATAAGAGGCGTTTTATAAGATTGCTTTTTAATGCATATTGTCCGCACTGTATGAGAGAACACCCTTTTTCAGTGGAATTCTGAGAGTTGCGGGGTTTCAACACGGGCCTTCCCTCACGGGGGTTTCCCGCCCCGGGCGCGCTCCCTCACGCTCTGGGGGCAGCGCTGTCCCCACAGACGGCGGGAGCCCGCCGGGCCCTGCCGGGGTAGCTCGGCATCTCTGGTAGTCACGGGCGGCTCCGGGGGAAGGCTCCCGACGGCGGCCAGGCCGCGGTACCCGTTGCCCTTACCGAGGCGGAACGGGCTGAAGGTGATGACGCAAGAGGCGGTTCCGGCGCCGGGGCGGTGACCGAGGCGGCGGCGCGGGCGGAAGGAAGGGAAGGAAGGGAGGCGGGGGGGAAAGGGGCGTCTCGCCGCCGCCGCCGCGGTCCCATTGCCGGGAACGGGGGACGGGACGCGAGGGGAGCGGGAGCGGGCGGCGTGAGGGGAGAGCGAGAGCGCGCGCCGCGCGAGGGCAGCGCGAGGCAGCGCGAGCGGCGCCCACGGGAAGTATCGCGAGAGTTGGCGCGGCGGCGGCGCCGGCGCTAGAGGTGACCGAGGCAGCGGCGGCCGCGGGCGCCTCCTCCTCTTTTTCCTCCTCCTCCTCCTCCTCCTTCTCCTCCTTTTCCT